AGCTAGATACCTAGGTAAATAAATAAATAAATAAAAATATTGATAAAGTTCAGTGCTAGGGGAGAAATATAAATTGATACAAGCTGTTCAAAGTAATTTAATAATATCCAACAAAATTTTAAACATGCATAACATTTGACACAGAAATTCTACATACAGAAATGTATCCTACAGGCCAGGGGCGGTGGCACAAGCCTGTAATCCCTGGACTGTGAGAGGCTGGCCAACATGGAAAAAACCTGTCTCTACTAAAAATACAAAATTAGCCAGGCATGATGGCATACACTCATAGTCCCAGCTACTTGAGAGGCTGAGGCAGGAGAATAGCTTGAACCCAGGAGGTGGAGGTTGAAGTGAGCCTAGATCATGCCACTGCATTCCAGCCAGGGCAACAGAGCAAGTTGTCTACAATCAATCAATCAATCATTATCCATTCCCAGCAGGTGGCAGCTCATCAGCAGTTGTCTGGATACCCTGTAGCCCAAGCTAACTAGACACTTCTTTTTTTTTTTTTTTAAAGACGGGGTTTCACCATGTTGGTCAGGCTGGTCTTGAACTCCCGACCTCAGGTGATCCGCCCGCCTTGGCCTCCAAAGTGCTTGGATTACAGGTGTGAGCCACCGCGCCAGGCCGACACTTCTTTACCTATGAGGACAAAGCACTCAGAGCAGTAAATGGCCTGCAGAAGAGCAGATAATACCAATGAAGAATTGTCACATTTTCTTGCAAAAAAAAAAAGCAAGTAATAGCCCTCCAGCCTCAAAATTATGAACAAATGAATAAGCAACACATTTTCATAACAAAGTGTTGCCTTTAACTACCTGGAAATACAAAGGCAGAGGTACTGCTTCAGCTAGGATCAGATGCAGCCATGAAGTCAGAACTCTCATCACACCATTAGCTCCACAACGAATGGTTTCCTGTTATTTCATAAGCAGAGGTCATTAATTTGTTCACTCAACAAACATTTGCCAAGTAGCTACCCTATGCCAGAAATGTTCAGGTGCTGGGATATAAACAAGACAAGGTCCTGCCTTTAAGTAGATAATAAACTAGGCATGGGAAACACACAAAAATACCAAAACATGGTAAAAAGGAATTTGAGAAAAAAAAAAATAATAATTTTTTAAAAATACCAAAACTTAGCAGTACAGTGTGATTATAAAAGCTTGCATAGACTTCAATGTCATACAGAAGAGAGGCATTCTGCTGAACCTGGAGGGAATCAAGGAAGCCTTTTATTAAGAGAAGGTGGTGCCTGAACTCCTGGTTCAAGCCTTAGAGTCAGTCAAGCTGTAGAATGGAGAGAGAAATTAGCAGAAGAAATAGCCTGAGAATGCTGGGACCTTCAAGGAGTTCAGTATAACTGAGCCTTAAGTGCCAGAGGAATTGTGGCAGAGAAAAAACTAGAAAGGAAGATAAAGGGGCAAGGTCATAAAGGTCATTATGAGATGCTGAAGCAGAAACAGGACAGGGTCTAGATGTTTGAGACCCAGAAGTATATTATTTACTCTTACCTGGAATTAAACACCACTGGAATGGAGGGGGCATTTGACTAGGGCAAGACTGGAAGAGATTAAGGACCAGTTATTTCAAATCACTTCTGGCCTCTACTTATTTTTCTCTTGAATATTAGTGGGACTTTTTTTCCCTTACTTATAGGGAAAAAATAAAACTGAACAATTCTGGCCGGGCGCGGTGGCTCAAGCCTGTAATCCCAGCACTTTGGGAGGCCAAGGCGGGTGGATCACGAGGTCAAGAGATCGAGACCATCCTGGTCAACATGGTGAAACCCCGTCTCTACTAAAACTACAAAAAATTAGCTGGGCATGGTGGCATGTGCCTATAATCCCAGCTACTCGGGAGGCTGAGGCAGGAGAATTGCCTGAACCCGGGAGGCGGAGGTTGCGGTAAGCCGAGATCACACCATTGCACTCCAGCCTGGGTAACAAGAGTGAAACTCCGTCTCAAAAAAAAAAAAAAAAAAAACATGTCTGAACAGAGTGCTAGATTCTACCAAAGTAGCCCCAATTAAAGAAGATGACAAATCTCTCCTGCATCTGGAGAATTTCTGGCAAAAACACCAAAGCCAGGTCTCTGGTGCCCGCAGAAGAAAGCTAGAGAAATGTTCTGATCAGAGGCCATATAGAACACAATGATGCCTGGTACACACCAGTGTTCTGTCAATGGGAATGCCCATTGTTCCCAAACGAGAACATGCCAAACAGTTACCTCCTGGCTTCTCCATACAAACTGTCAGGAAAAAACCTTCTACTGCCAGGAATGGTCTTGGACTTTATAGTACGGACTCCCGCCTACCAGCACTGAATAAAGACATCCTCAAAATTCCCTCACCTGTCCAGAGCACCAGCAGGTGCAGACAGTTGCCTTCCTCACCTGACATGGAAACTGAGCCCCTGAACCCTGCACAGCACCACAGCACTCAGCCACATTCCTACTACTACTCATACTACTAAGATTAGAGGTCCTATATAATAATATACATTAACTACTACTAACAGCCAGCACTGACCACCCTCAAAGCTCAAGACCCTCATCTCCATGCCTCAATGCAACCTGCAAAGAACATTATATTAGGCTCATTTTACAGATGGAAAAACGAAACAAAACCAAAGCTCAGAGAGGTTAACAGCTTATCCAGGGTCAAAAATTGAGCAAGAAAAAGTAGGATGACTCCAAAAACCAAGTTCTTCCCATTGTACTAGGCACTTCTCTCAGACTTTTTCTAAAGAAATAGAAAATTCTAAGCCTTATTTCCAAGAGTTTCTGAAGTTGATCCATTTAACTAAGAGGTGGCCAAAAAGGTGTCTTTGTCCGGGCATGGTGGCTCATGCCTGTAATCCAAGCACTCTGGAGGCCAAGACGGGCAGATCACCTGAGGTCAGGAGTTCAACACCAGCCTGACCAACATGGTGAAACCCCGTCTTAAGTAAATAAAAAAAATAAAGGTGTCTTTACGCAATCACATTGCCTCCAAGGCAACAAATAAACAAGTTTTTATTTTCTTTGATAAAGTGAATAGTCCAGATGGAAAATGAGAGATATTTTGAGGAATTTATTTATAATCTAAATACCTTGATTTTACATTTCTTCATTTATTTTTGCCCAAGATACATATAGAGAGACATAAGAAGACAACAAAAGGCAGAATTTCATTTTACTAGATCTTGAATGAAGAGTAATAAAGCAAAAAAAAATCAGATTTACATTATATTTTATGCAGTAAAAATTAAGAGGCAAGTGACTTCAAAAAGACTGAGCCTTACCTCAGTCTTACTCCTTCTTTTCCAAGGGACAGCACTCCAAGTGATCAGCAGACACTCCCAGCCTACATACAGTGAACCAGACATAGGGGATAAGTAACGCCTTCATGCTCCCAAAACCACAGTGGGAAGGAGTGTGATGGCTTCCTGGGGAACCTGAACACATATAGTATTCGTAAATTACGGCTCATTGAGACACACACCAAAACAAAATGTTTTACCTGTGGTTTGTCTACAAGAGTACTTAAATTTAACAGGTATACAAAATAATGCAAAAATAATCCCATACTAAAATGAACTCACAGTGATAGCTAAACTTATTCCATGGAAATGTTAGGATAATTGTCACATTAATGTTAACATTAAATGTTAAGATAATTGTTTATAATTAATACATTATAAAAACTTTATTCAATGGTTTTACTGAGTAAAAGTTTGATATACCTCAATCACTTCTTTCTTCATAGACCTATAGCCACCTCTAAACCAGGAACTACCACTATCAAAATGTTAAAAATATCATCAGCATTGTGGAGGTGCCCAAAGCATGCCTGGCATAATGTAATAAATGTTGGTTTATGAAAGAATGAATGTACAGAAAGAAAGAATACTACTTTTTTTTTTTTTTTTAATCAAGAGTCTCGCTTCATCACCCAGGCTGGAGTGTAGTGACACAGCTCACTGTAACCTCTGCTTCCCAGGTTCAAGTGATTCTTGTGCCTCCCTCAGCCTCCCGAGTAGCTGGGACTACAGACATGTGCTACCACGCCCAACTAATTTTTGTATTTTTAGTAGAGACAGGGTTTCAACATGCAGGCTTGAACTCCTGACCTCATGTGATCCACCTGCCTCGGCCTCCCGAAGTGCTGGGATTACAAGTGTTAGCCACCACACCCAGCCAAGAGAGAAAGAATACTACTGAAGAAAAATAATCATTTAAAACTTAAGGAAAAAAATAATGTTTTCAATAATAAGAACTATCAGTCCAACTACAAACAGAATTACCTAACATCACACTTGAAAATTTTTACTAGACTCCAGTTAGGCTATACTTCCTACCACTCTAAACTCAGAAGGTACAATGATTCCAATATTGTTTTTGTTCATGTAGCGTTCCCTTTAATATCTCACCTACAGATAACACACCAACTTTTGCCTGAATAATACATACAGAGCTCTGGCCCACAGCTGCAACCCTCAGAGTTGGAGTTTGCACACTGTCTTTCAATGATACAGATTGTCACAGGGAGACAGTGTACATGCCAAGTTAATTGAAGATGGATAATACTTCTAGTGAAGACAATGTCCTGTGAGAGTAAACAAGGATACTGAAATGAGAGTCACTAAGAGTGAACAGATTTAACATACTCACTTCATGGCAGTAAGAGAAAATGAAATTTCAAGGATTTAAGGATGGAAAGAGCATTTAATAGCATAAATGTTAGGGTTTCTGTATCCTTCTTTAGTGTTGCATACATTAAACAATGGCACACAAATTAGTGAAAACAAACTTTTAAATTAATTTAGATTTATAAGAATTAGACTGAAAATGTCTGGAACTTACATGTATGATGAAGTCTAAGTTTGTCTATCATTACAAACAATAGCCACAGTGCTGAAAAGAAAATATGAGTCACAATTCAAAAACAACAGAAGAAAGAAAAAATTGAACAGAGAAAGGCTTTGAATCCAAATACCACAGAGAAATTTCGTTACTTAAAATGTTGTCAATGACAGCCACCACTCTGACTTGGAGTAAGAAAGGTCCACACTGTCCTCAACATGGGAACAAACTCACCCAGCCTCACATAACTCTTCCAGTTGCATCCACCTCAATGTTCGGCCACCAATATAGTCAGCCACATTCCCTAGCAAGCAACAGGAATCCTAACAGATCTGAGTCACCCACTCCCACGCAGTAAGAGGTCATTCTCCATCAGGAAGCCCACTCTGCAAAGTTTCCTTGTTCATCTCCTCAGGCTGCCACCACCATGGCCCACATAAAGCTGATTCTCCAATCTCAGTCGACTATCAACTCTCCTTTACACTCCCCAAACCACAACTCCCACCGGCCTCACCCTAACGAAAAGACAGCTAGCGCTACTCACCGTGTGTCACTACTCACTCCTGTGGTAAGTTCCTTGTCTGAGAACCACTCCTCGTCAGGGTGCATCAGAGCCCCGGAGGATCCAGCTCTCTGCTTAACTCTCCTGTGCCCAGCAGAGCTCCTGCCTTTCCAGGAACTAATCACCAGTTACCTCAGAGAAGCTAAACTCTCAATGCCTCTTCTACCCCAGCCCGACCCCTATGTGCCAAATTCCCAGACCTCAGGAAAGTGGGTCGGGGAGACGCAATCCAGATTCGCTTTAGGGATTAGATACACAGAGGCCCCTAAAAATCCAAATGCTTCCCCTACCCCACACCGCGCTCTGGTCATCCACCCGGCCGCCAGCATCCAGCGCCATGAACGCACAGAGACCACAGTTAAGTCCCCGTGTCCCTATGACTCCCTTCCCCGGCTACGAAATCCTCAAATATCAAGCCACTGAGGCCCCAGGTCGAGGCCCAAGACCCCCGCCAAGCCTCCGGCCACTGGAGTTTCCCGGTTGGACTCCGTGCCGCGAAGGCCCAGGCCGCTGGGTCCATCTAACTGCCCAGAGCCACTGCATGCCAGGAGCCCAGGCCGCGTCCCCAGTCGGTCCCCATTGTTGCGGGACCCTGGGGCCCTGGCCGGGAGCGAGGGACCGGCACCGGCTCTCACCTCCTGCGCCGCGACGCCGGACCGCGCCGGGCCGAGGAACCTCACGTTCCGCTGCGCCCGCCAAGGCAGAGTCTGCGGCGGCGGGGGCGGGGGCGGCGGCTGAGGCGGGAAGCAGCCGGCCAGGCCCGGGCGCCGCGGGCTGGCTCCGGCCAAGCGTCGGTCTCCACCGGCGGCGGCGCTCGCCAGCCTCCGCTCGCGGTCCGCGCCAGAAAGTGTCCCCCTCCCGGCCCGCGCGCCCGACCGCACGGACGGGAACAAGCGCCGCGGAGAGGAAAGTTCCGCTGAGAGCCGACTAAAGGCCGTTCCGCTACGCGGGGTGTAAGGCGATTCCAGCCTGGATAGGACCGTTTCTGGAGTGAATGCCGCATGGGAATCCCAAGCCAGAGGCTGCCTGAGAGTGGTTCTACGGGTGGGTCCAACGGAATGGTTTTGCAACTCGCCAGCCATTTAGCGTCTCAGTTGAGCCTCAGCTTCTCCTCATTTCTCATTGGGAATAATCTAGGCGGTTTGTTAGGATTGAATGAAGTGATGCAAATACCTAGCGCAGAGATAGGGAGCTCTACACTGGGGTACGATCGTTACTGATGCTGCCAAGGCTACTACTATTGCCTCCAACTTAGGTTGTGCTCAGTCCTCAAGGACCCCTGACATTATGCGCACCCTGTAGCTCTTCCTTTTCCACCCTTGGTCCTATTGGAAACCATCCCGTTTCCTGTTAACTGAAGCGGTCTTCGGAATTCTCTGGAAGAGGAGCAGAGGCAAAAGGGGGCTTTCTTGATTGTTGACACTCAAGTGGAGGTTAAGGATGCAGGTTCTCCTTTCTCAAGCTGGGAATTACCGCCATGTGGGCTCCAGTTACTGATGGGACTGTATCAGCTGTCTCCGCTATAGCCTCGGGTTCTCTTCTCCTCCTCACAAGAAGTGAATATTAGGCCGGGCGCGGTGGCTCAAGCCTGTAATCCCAGCACTTTGGGAGGCCGAGGCGGGTGGATCACGAGGTCAAGAGATCGAGACCATCCTGGTCAACATGGTGAAACCCCGTCTCTACTAAAAATACAAAAAATTAGTTGGGCATGGTGGCGCGTGCCTGTAGTCCCAGCTACTCAGGAGGCTGAGGCAGGAGAATTGCCTGAACCTGGGAGGCGGAGGTTGCGGTGAGCCGAGATCGCACCATTGCACTCCAGCCTGGGCAACAAGAGCGAAACTCCGTCTCAAAAAAAAAAAAAAACAAAAAAAAA